CAGCTTTTATTATAGATGATAATAAAAAATAAAAAAATACATATACAGCAATTTTTTTTTTTTGGTTAAATGCATACATGTTATTTAATCTCTCAATTTTTTTCTTATCAGACATGGCCAACCTTTGTCTTAATGATAACGATGGTTCCAGCGGTGCTTCAGACCAGGACACTCTGGCGCCTCTTCCATTACCAGGGGCAACACCATGGCCTCTGCTCCACTCTTTCACGTACCAGTACCCTCACCCCTATTCCACCCAGCCACCTCCTTATCATGAGCTCTCCAACTACAGCTACGGCCCAGGCAGTGCAGGCAGCCAGCACAGTGAAGGTAACAAACACACTGACCCTCAGGCACAAAATGTATGGAAATGTGTGAACAAATGGTTAGAGATTTCATGAATCAGAGCTTAATAAAATCCACATACACTACCGTTCAAAGGTTTGGGGTCAGTAAGATCATTAATATTTTTCTTTTTAATTTATTCTTTATTATTAAATTATTCTTTTATTCAGCAAAGTTGCATTAAATTGATTGAAAGTGACAGTAATAACTTTTACATTGCTATAAAAAATTATATTTAAAAAAACACTGTTCTTTTCAACTCTCTATTCATCTGAGAATCCTGAAAAAATGCATTACAGTTTTCACAAAAATATTAAGCAGCACAAATGTTCAACATCGATAACAATGAGAAATGTTTCTCGAGTGCCAAATCAGCATATTAGATTGATTTCTGAAGAATCATGTGACACTGAAGACTGGAGTAATGATGCTGAAAATTCAGCTTTGCCATCACAGGACTAAATTAAGTTTTAAAATATAATAAATAGAAAACGGTTATTTTAAATTGTACAAATATTTTTACAGTTACTGTTTTTACTATTTAAAAATAAAAATAAAAAATGCAACCTCACAATGAGACATTTTTCCAAAACCATTTAAAAAATTGTACTTTTGAACTGTAGTGTATATCCATTGATTGTCATTATGGAACTAAAACTGAGAAAACGCTGGACAAATATGCTGCACTTATTAATTCATTTTTATTAGTATTTATTAAGTTTTGTTGTTTTTATCTGTGTTATTTTAAATTTATATAATATGGTATATTAGTAAAAAATAATTTTAAAAAACATTTTACGTTCTGACTTGTAAAACACTATCCCCCGGTTTCACAGACATGGCTTAAGGCTAGTCCCAGATTAAAATGCATGTTTGAGCTGTCTCAACTGAAAATATCTTGCTCTGACATATCTTAAAAAATGTCAGTTCCATTGTTCTGTCTCAAGATGCACACATGTAACGTTTTCTTTAAACGCATTAAAGGCATTTTTATAAAAGCTGCTTAAATATCTTAATTTAACTAAGGCCTAGTCCTGGCTTAAGCTAAGCCCCGTCTGTGAAACCGGACCTATATGCTTCATTTTATTTCAATTAATAGTGGAATACAAACATAATGTATTATTAATATTAAACTACAAAGTTGCTATGACAATCAGCATGCATCTTGTATTCTAGTCACCATATGAAAAGCACATGTAACGTTTTCTTTAAACGCATTAAAGGCATTTTTATAAAAGCTGCTTAAATATCTTAATTTAACTAAGGCCTAGTCCTGGCTTAAGCTAAGCCCCGTCTGTGAAACCGGACCTATATGCTTCATTTTATTTCAATTAATAGTAGAATACAAACATAATGTATTATTAATATTAAACTACGAAGTTGCTATGACAATCAGCATGCATCTTGTATTCTAGTCACCATATGAAAATAAGTTTTTGTTCCCCTGTCAACACCCTGTTGTGCTCTCGTCTCTTTCTCTCAGGGAGTCACAGCAGTGGCTCCACACGCAGTGACGGAGAGAAGAGAAGGGGCAATAAAAGCGTATCTGGCAGTACGGCGGGTGGTAGCGTACGTGACGATAAATCTCCCAGTGGGGGCGGGGCTGACTCGCGTTCTGGCAGCGGCAGCGAATCGGATTACTCTGTTCGCAGCAGCCTGAGACGAGACCACGGCTCAGCCACGCCCAGCGAACACAGTCGCTCCAGTCAGCGCTCGAGCCAGCGCTCGCATCATCGCGTTCCTCCACCTGCTCATCTCGCCCCATATCCGCCTGGAATCCCCATTCCTTACAACCCAATGATGGTGATGATGGTGCCCCAACATCCACACCCACACCTAGCACTTGGAGCCCCGCACCCACAAACGCCTACTTTGCCGCCCCACCCTGGCTTGCTGCCCTCTGGCACCCCTGGTGGGCCTCCAGGAGCTCCACCGACCCGAGACCTGGGCTCCGTCCCGCCTGAGCTGACAGCCTCTAGGCAGTCTTTCCACTTGGCTATGGGCAACCCCAGTGAGTTTTTTGTGGATGTGATGTAATGAAGGATGTAGCCGTCGATGTACAGGTGAAGGAGTGAATGCAGAGAGGTTTGTAGTCACATGATAACTGTGAGTTCCACTCTGTGACTGACAGAGATGTAGTTTACTGTATCAGTGCAGCTCTTTAGAGTTAGTGTTTGTCCTTGACGGTAGGAACAGGGTTCACGGAAGGGTAGGAAGTCTTGCGTAGCACGGACTTCAACATCTATTTTGTCTTTGTGGTATTAACCACAACAGGGTCTGGCCTTCTTAAATGACTGAAAAAAAATTGGCGTATTTTTCAGAGTCCTGTTATTTTCCTTAAATGTTTCCACAAATTCTCGAAGGCCTTTGATAAGGATCTCGTGATTTTCCAGAAAACATTTCTAAAAGCAAATTCAATTCGCTTTACACACCTTTTAAATGACCAACATGATATTCACTAGAATTATAACTTTAATTTTAAGTAAACCATTCTATATAAAAAAAAAAAGTATGGAAGCTTGTTTCAGTCACGGGATAAAAACATAAAAAGGCAATTGCAACTTTTATCTAACAATTTAGACTTTTTTTCTTGCAGTTCTGAGAAAAAAGAGAGAATTGTGAGATAGAAACTCAGAATCGAGAGATAGAAACTCGCAATTCTGAGAAGAAAAGTCTGAATTGTGAGATATAAACTCCCAATTGCGAGGGGAAAAAAAGTTGACATTGTGCGATTAAAAATGACCTTTTTTATTTTTTAATAAATAGGACTTTAAAAAAACTAACTGCGAGATGCAACCTCAGAATTCAGAGAATTACAGGATATAACCTCGGAATTGCGAGTCAGTCAGGATTCTGTTTATATTTTACAACTCTGATTAAGGGGGAAAAATATGAATTGTGAGATAAAAAGTCCAAATTAGCTTCGGGCTTCCATAATAAAATGCATGCCTCCAAAAACCTTTAAAAGGATTTAAATGTTTGCAACAATCGATCTGGTGTATTATGTCTCTTTAAGTATTGCTTTAAAGTCTACCAAGGAATTCTGAAAGCTTTTCTCTCATGTACTTATATACTGTACACTTTAAAAATTGCCTTTGTAAACTCTTTGTACAGCTGAATGGAGCCAGGGTTCATGGAAACAAATATTTGATTGTCAGTTTCTGAGATTAAGAACTCTTCTGATTCCTGGTGTTAGAAAGCAATCCCTTCTAAATAGGCAGACTATAAAATGATTGTACTAAAACGGTACATGCAGAGGAAGTTTTAACCCCATAAAGGTACTTTCTGGGTAGAATGGGTTGTTTATTCTATTTTCTACTCCAGAGCTTCCTCTTTTTTTTTTTTTGACTCTTTGTATGACTGATAATCATAGCACCTTTTTATATGAGTTTATAGATATACAGGTACAAGTATACAGGTGCTACATAAAGACTGAGTCTCAATGGAATGCCATGTTGAAGTGTTACATTTTGAATATCATCAGATACTGTCACTTTTGCATGTCTTCACTCCAAATAAATTTGATAGAATTAACTCTGAAACAAGTCATTTTTTCTCTCTGAGAATTGTTAATTTTTCGATGTCTTTGTGTTTTAGTTTCAATCTTGATCTTATGTACAAGGAATAGTATTTATATGTATCACTACTGTATCAATGTTTTATATATATGGAAACACCATAGGTTGTTGAATTTTAATGTAAAAGAACAAAATGTAGGTTTTTATTTCTGCAAAATGTTTTCTTCCAGTGCAGCTCTTAAATCTTTTTCTCAAACTGTCATTTTGGGGTCATCTACAACACATGCCAGAATCAATGGCATTGTGAGTTCAATGACTCATTTTTTTTTACATTTATTGCAAATGAAACTTAAGAATTTACTAGTGTGATTTTTCACTTTTGCAGTTTGACAGGCTTTGTCATAAACTGCCATGGGGAAAAAAATATTTTTGTTCCCATTTTGTTCTCAGCTTGAAAAAAAAAGCTACATTTTAATTTTGTATTTAACTTAAAAAAAAAAAAAGCAGCATGCAGATTTGGAACAACATGAGGGTAAGTAACTAATCTTCTGAATTTGCATTTTTGATATTTCTCTATGTTGTCTTGCTCTTGGGTCATTGTGTTCAACTGTGGAAATGTTTAATAGCCTTTTTGTAATCAAGACTTTGTGTAGGCATGTGCCTATACAGAAAATTATCCACCCAAAAAATTAATTCATTAAAAAATTAATTTTAAAAAAATCACTTGAACTGACGTTTTTAAATAAAAAGTTAACTTTTTTTTCTCAAAAAGTAACCTTAACTTAAATATTAATAAGAATTATTACTACCTGTATCAATTATTTTAAACTATTATGTATTAGGTATTTTAATTTATTTTATATAAGTTATATATTTAAGATTTTTTACTACATAGGCCTATACAAATGTTTCAATTAATTTATAATTTATTTTATATTATTATGACATGATGTCAATACAGCGAAAATGTAATCACTTCATATATGCAGTTTAATTAATATACATGGAACGGTATATTATTTTACATAATTTAATGCAATATCTTATAACAAAAATATCTTGGTTCAGCTTATATCCATATCGTTTCACTGTGACACACAAAGGAACCTTCAGCCGTATTGTAGCACCTCCCTCGAAGTGTCTGAGATCAGCAGCGTTAACGTTACATGACTCTTCCCTTGGCACTAAAGTAAAGGATATGTACTTCCGGTAGAATCAGCATCTCGTTTAACAGTAGTTTACATATTTTTAGCGCTATTTCAAACGTGTTTTGTGGCAGAAGTGTTTGTATCGCGTCAACGTCCACAGGAGGAGGGTCTCTGGTCTGCGGTGGGAAGAGCCACGAACTGGAAGAGTCGGTCAAGGGCGAAATAAAACCGGTCCTGCGGCATTGTAGGACACTCAGTCCAGAACTCGTTTACCTCTAGCCGGACATTGTTGTCCCGTTGTTTATCGGCATTGTGTGACTTTATAATTTGTCCTCGATCCTAGGCAAAGGTTGACACTTCCGCTTCACGGGAGATAAACAACGCTCGGCAAGAAAGACAAGAATCTCGGCCTAATCGTAATCATGTTGCTGCGTAAAGTTACTCAAAGTCCTGCGATCTGCAACTCTGTCCTCCGTCTACAACCAGCGATTACAGGGTGAGACTCGCTGTTTTCATTCAGGTCGAGCTTATTATCGTTACCTAAAAAAACTAAAGCAAAATCGAATATACAGAAGCTAAAATAACTTGAAATTGACCCCCGAATAAACTTAATTTTCTCTATGATGTCCTCTATTATTAATGATGTCAGTTAGCGTAGGCGTCTCTAAAAATACTATAACTACAACTGAAACTAAAAGTAATTCGAATATCTATCTATCTCTCTATTAATATGAAAGATGATAGATAGATAGAAACATGCAGAAGAGATTAAGACAATATATGACTGCTAAATCAATATATGATATGATTTTTTTCTGACTTTCTCTCCTTTATCAGAGCGCAACGCCAAACTGGAGCTATTGTGGCAGTGCAAAATGCACGTTTTTACGCGAGCCAGGCCGCAGAGGTGAGACCTATTAATGTGCATCAATATAATGTATTCATTTTCAAACATAGGTTATGTCACAGAGGCAGTTCAAGTACTTTGTGACCAGAACTGACACGACAGATCATGCTGTAGCCAATCCGGTCATGTCCTGTGGGGGAAAAAAAACAGGTGCTTGTCCTCAGACACCCATTAATATAAATCTGGAGTAAAGTTCACATGACACACAGGAGCTTGGCAGTAGGTGTTTTGCCATGTGGTCTTACGTGTTACGTAAATATTGTGGTTGACCTACAGGGAAATTAGATGCTCTGTGTCAGAATAAATATTTAGAGAGAGTAAGGAAAATATAAAATGTTATTATGGTTGATTCATTATCACGCTGTCTTGTGGGTTATGTATGGGAGGGAAGGTTTATAAGGGCGGGTTACATGATCCTTGTCATTGCTCTTTGCTCTACTTGGCGTCCTTTTTTTTGTCCCAATGTCAAGCCATGGAAAGCTTTACAGTATGTCACTTTGTCACATTGCACTTGAACCCACCAAACTGGAAAGGGTTTTTAACAGAAGAGCTTAGAAAGCACTGGCTATACCAAATGCAAAAGTGAAAACATTCATTCAGCATTCATCTAGTTATTTATTTTAGAATTACTTTCATTTAAACTAACAAAATAAGTCATAAGCAATATTAGCATAATGGATATTCAGTACTGAGAAAATAAGAATACTGTAGATTTCTGTGTAGTTTTGTTGCATGCATATAAACAAACCAATAACTTTCTGTTGTTATTTTTACCAAGGCTGTTCTGGACAAGAATGTAGTTGGCAGTGACGCCACCATGACAGCTGAGAAGGTTGATAAGGCGGCCAATGTGGTACGTGAGTTTATGTGCTGGATTCAGACACGTTGTGCATTGATTTGAGAGGCAAATCTTATGATAACTACAAATGCTACTTTTCATTCTGAGATATTTTCAGAAGAGTTATTTTAACGCTTATCTTATCTTAAGACAAATAAGATGCAACACACTTATTGATCTTTTATAATGTAGAGACAGTATTGTTATTTTACTATTAGAGACTCATAACTTTTTCCCCTCAGGAGTCAAAGTCCTTTGCTGTGAACATTTTCAAAGGGCAAATCGGCACTTCTCAGGTGTTCCCCTTTCCGTCAGGTGACTTCAAAAAATGTTTTCCCCCTGTGCCAAAGTATGTTTTAGATGCATTGCTTTGATATGGTCCAGTGTTATTTTGTGGTCATCAGATATTATATTTTAAAAACCGGAAAATTTTGATTTTAGTCTGATTTTTGTTTTTAAATGTTATAGTATTAGGTTTTGTTGTAGTGTTGTTACTCCTTATACTCACACTTCAGTGTTGCTCAGTGTGTGTTTACTGTATTTATGCCCTGAATATTTTTACATTCTTCGATGTAGTGCTCAATGAAGAGCAGTCACAGTTTCTCAAGGAGTTGGTTGGGCCATGCAGTAAGTTTTTTGAGGTAAGTTTAATGCACCTACACTTCTGTTTTAGAATAAATAATTTTCTTTTATAGACCGATTTCCTTAAATATTTGAAAACAGTCATTCTACATATTATTGAAAATTCAAACAATGGACAAATGTGAGAAAATGAAGCTCAAAATTAAATCTTGAGGAAGTGTCCCATAAGAGGACAACACAATATTGATACAATCTACCTTTACGCTAAAGATGTTTCAAATAAAATTTTAAAACTGTAGCTCGCATGATACTGAGAAATGCGTAGGCAGTTGACATGCTTTGCGTCCATTATAGTGACTTTTTCATTTTCTTTGTGCCTATGTGTGTTTCAAGGAAGTGAATGACCCCATGAAGAATGATGCTCTGGAGAAAGTGGAGGAGCGCACAATGGAAGGCCTAAAGGAGATGGGAGCTTTTGGTCTTCAGGTGCCTGCAGATCTTGGTGGCGTTGGCCTCACCAACACACAGGTAAGACCACTGATCCATTCTCATTTTTCTTTTATTTGGGTAGGAGGTAGAGATATAAACAAATAGAAATCTAGAGATGCACATTAAATTTATGCATGTACCTGCTCTGTTTACAGTACGCCAGGCTGGTGGAGATTGTCGGGATGCATGATCTGGGTGTGGGCATCACTCTTGGTGCCCATCAGTCCATTGGCTTCAAAGGCATCCTGCTTTTTGGTAACCCCCAGCAGAAAGAGAAGTACCTTCCGAAGCTGGCCACTGGTGAGTGAGTGAAGAGCACACACAACAACTGCTGCAATGTTTAGCTGTGTGACTTAGTTAACATATAATTTATTAATAACCATAATATTTGTGCATATTTTTAATGCGTTCTTATACTGTCAGTTGCCTATTTTAATAAGTTTGTGAATTTATGAGTGTTTAATCCTGCATTATAAAAAGATACATTTACTTATTTACACACAAAGTCGGCCACAAATATTCCAAATGGAATGGCTGTCATGATTGTGAAAAAGTGGCTAACGATTAATTATTTTACACATAACTGCAAACTATGATTTAAAAAGTAATTTGAATACACTTCATAAAATGCATTTATGTTTTAACAAATAATGCACAATAGTATGACAAATAATTTTTAATTATTTCAATTAAAATAATGTTTTTTTTTTATGTTAAAATATTTACAAATGTTTAAAATATATCCGATTATCTTTTGACTGAGTTCACTGTCAATTCACACCAAACCGACTATTAATATGAAAACGAATGCAAACTAGACTAAACTTAATGAAGTGCACAGTAACTACACTTTTCGCAAATATTCAAATATTGTGACCAAACATTTAAGATTAGCAGACCAAATCTAAAAATTGTAAGAATCTGACATTGAAAACCCCATAATGGGTGACAACTCATAAAGGGATAGTTCAGGATGGTTCACCCCAAAATAAAAATTCTGTCATCGTTTACTCACCCTCGGGTTGATCTAAATCATGTGATATACGAGTTTCTTCTGTTGAACATGAAAGAAGATAGTTTTAAGACTGTGGGTAACCAAACAGTTGCTGGTCCCCATTGACTTACGTAGTGTGGTTTTACAATGCAAGTCATTGGGGACCAGAAACTGTTTACCCACATTCTTTAAAATATCTTCTTTTGTGTTCAGCAGAATAAAGAAATTCATACAGGTTTGGAACAATTTGACGGTAAGTAGATGATGCCAGAATTTTCATTCTTTGGTAAACTATCCCTTTAATATTGTCTATGTTTGTTAAATAATAACTCTGTCTTGTGTGTTTCTGGTAGGAGAGCACGTTGCTGCATTCTGTCTTACTGAACCAGCAAGTGGTTCTGATGCAGCCTCCATTAAAACCAGTGCAGTTCGTTCCCCCTGCGGCCAGTACTACACCATGAATGGAAGCAAGATCTGGATCAGGTGTGTGTGATCTTACTCTTAACAAATACACACAAACACCCACACGTTGGGTGGCAAGGATGTTCACCTATTTTGCGGCCACTAGGGGGCATCATGAATAAACATATCACAGGCTGGTCCATGTCCACTTGGATGATGCCATATTACTATTAATTGGCTCTCTCAGCTGTACAGTCATTCAAAACAGTGTTTCTGGTCAGTGAGCCGATTGTGTGCTTGTGGGGGGTTTTGTTATCTTGGTATGACGATGTGATTTCTGTATCAAAGATATCTATCTTTCATGTGTGTTCCTCATTGAAGTCTAGTAACAACCAGAGAACTTACACATTGCATTTTGGCAACTCATAAATGCATATGAATAACTAAATATACTAAGTTTAGTGGTGTGAAGAACTGTTGTACTTAGTGGAGCTTAGCATTTTGTTTTTTATTGCTCATACTGAAGGCTAGGGGGATTTTCTAAACCCCTGACATTAAGTATTAAACTTTGCCACACTTGCCTTTATACAGTCAAACCGTGCAGCTTGATGAGGTGAGGTGTTAGAATTTAATGAAAATAAGTTTATCATAAAAGAAGTGCGTTTTCATGGCAGCTGTTTAGGGATTCTTTAGTGATTGTCAAACATGACTGAATGAATTCAAGGTGCACTTTTTAATTATGCAAAATGTTTTGGGTTTCTTCTCACGATATTCTTAGCACCATATGACAGCCTCGAGGACCTTTGCAAAAATAAAAAATATACAGACTTTTATGTGTGCACGAGAAACCATTAAACTTAGCATATAGGACAATGCACACTGAGCCATCAGCCCATTTCACGGTGTGGTTTCATGGCCGCCACAGAATATGCGTTACAGAGACCTAAGGCCTTGAAATATGACCTACTCCCCTAATGAAAGCTACATTTTGAACACTTTTTTTTTTTTTTTTACAATGCCAGTCTTTTTTATAGACCCGTGAACTTGTCAAATAGGACAATGCACATGGCTATATTATGCCATCAGCCCATTTCGTGTCATGGTTTTTCTGCTGCGGCAGAGGATGTGCTAAATTGGACATTAGGTCTTGATATTAGAGGTACTACCGTAAGAAAAGCCAAATTTTAAGCAAGTAGATCTCTATTAATTCATGTGCGTCCATGCTCTCACTTTATTCATAGTAAGATGCCTGTGATGCACAAAGGAAATATGTTATATAAAAATAGAAATTGTAATGCATAAGCATGCGAAAAATTCCCATGCGCATGTGAATAGTTTCTCGAGGGCACAAAAAAGTTTTTTGTGTGCATGCAAAAGTCACTTAGAGAAAATCAATGTAAAAAACCCCTGAAAAAATAAAAATATTTACAGATGACTATAATATATACCAAATATAAAGCTGAAAATAGTGCTGTATGAAACATTTATGTTAAATATGGTCCGAAAATCTACTGAGAGGTTTGGAAATTTGAGTTTAGAAAAGTATGGAATTTTGAAATGGAAAATGTGTAGGAACCCTGGCTACTTTTCTAATTAATATGAAATATAATTTTTGCCTCATGGATGTTAAAATGGGCAAAAGAATCCCATAGATTTATAATGGAGTAGGAGACCAGCATATTATAGAGACTTGGGATATAGCTGGCAAGAAACTTCCAGAACACTTTAGAAAAACACTATAAACAACTGAGAATACCTTAGCAACTGCAAATGCAAATTTAACCCTCTGGTGCTCAGAAAAATGTTCTGTTTTGAATTCTTAAAAATCACAGCTTCATCGGAATGGTATGAAACTTGGTGACTTTTATGGCATTTGGAATGTGAACACACAAAAAATGTTAGGGCATGATTCGAGCAGGCTAGGTGGTCGTAAAAAAAAGGTCACACTTGTGGTCTTCGGTCAAAAATAACCGACCATAGGAAATGAATGCGAAATCGACAATTATTGTGTGTACAATCTACAAATCTGCCACAATGCAGAAAAAAGTACGCAGCAATGACGGGGTGAAACTAAAACATCAAGAGTGCAAAACCAACACATCCACTCACACACATGCGTAAACATACACACATGAACTGGTGTGACTGTAACACAGCAAATATGTAAAATAAAAGCAATAATTCAACTACAATGCAGTAAAAAAGTGGACAGCAAGGAAGGGGTTACACTCTAAAACATCAAAACAGACACATCCACACACACACACACACACAATTATACACACTCAAATTAATTGGTATGGCTATAACCATATAGCCAAAACGAGTCAGAAAACTGAAATAAGAGGTTTAAATCAGATCAGACCCAGAAGGATTAAGCTCTGATAAAACATTCCTATTCATTTTTGTTACATTTTTATAGAATTTTAATGTTTTGTGTAACAAAATGCAGTATTGCAGTAAAACAGTATTATGGTAGCTTCAACCAAAGCTAAAATCAAGAAGTTTAAGTTCAGGTAAATGTTTCATTGAGCCTCTCATAAGTACAATTAAAATGTACATGTACAATTAATAAGTCATCATTATTTAAGTAATCGTAATATTAAAGTAAATACATTAAAATAGTACTGTATGCATGTTATTATAGTCCATAAGGCCTGTTCACACCAAGACTGATAACTATGAAGATAATTATAGTGATAGTTATATTAGCATCCTAACCAACACACAATATGGTTCTTTTTATTATAACCATGCACTGCCATTTTGTCATCTACTGCTTTAAAAGCTCAAGCTGTGTGAATTCTGTCATTCATCAGCTGGAAAAATCCTGAAAGTGATTCTAGTGAAATCGTTCCTCTGTGTTGTTATTGTTAATTACATTAATCGATTCCGATTCTTTTCTATTCCCAGTTTCGATTCCAATGTGATTAAATAATGATATCAGACATTTATCCTGTGTCTCTTTTTTGCAAACCATTTATTGGAG